TCCAAGAGCTTTCTTCTGCAAGCAATGCTTCCACGGAAACAAGCCATGGCGATATGGCGACATTAAAGCAAAGCCTGTGATTAGTGACCATTTTGCCAACTGGAAAAAGACCGCAAATTCGACCAGGAAGGTTGTTCAAACAAACCATGGTGATATCAAAGCAAAGCCTGTGTTCACTGACTCACTTGCAAAGAAAATGGCTCCTGGTTTAGCTCCTCCCAACGGCTATCCAGATCAGACACCGGAATAGGACGCCACAAACTCAACCAGAAGGCTATTTTTCCTGGGGTGACGTTTGCAGCCCTCATGCACGGCCGCAAGTCTGGGATAGTAGTCTGGGAAAAAGTATTCTGGGAATGTTGTTTTCTGGATGGATACACATTTACACGATAGTCACTTTTTTGAGGCAATTGCCCAGAGCTTCATTCTGGAGAAGCACCCTGTCAGAAAGAACTAATAACTTTGGATGTAGTTCGTCCACTAATTCCATGGAAAAAGAACAGTTAACTCTGGATTCAATTCCAGAGGAGTAATTATTGTGGACATGCGCCTTGTTGCAATGAATTACTGGAACTGGAACTATCTTATATACATATACATATATATAATTCTTCCAAAACACCTATTGACGCGGAAGAACAACCATCCGATTACTACAACTAACTCTCGGTGTTATTCCGTTGGCATGAGCACAGAAGTGAAACACCATGTTAGAGCATTGACTTGAGAATGATACAATTCGTTCAAGTTCTTCTGCGAGATGAAAGCTTGTTAGTTCTGGTGGTGGAAGCGCGCTTGTAATGATTGTCCACACATTTGGACAAAATGTGGATAACTTGATGCCCCTAAACCGATAGTGAGCCACCTGGATACATGAAATGTGGGGGATCGGTTCATTGCTTGTTGCACCTATTGAAAGGGAACACCCCAAAACATGTAATAGAGCTGGCCTAAAGAGCACTTGGAGCAATGGGTGTTGCTCACCCCTCTGTAGAGCCTACATGTTCAACTTCGTATCAGTCCAACAGGAGCTGCCGAGGGTCAACCATTTTTATATATGTATTTGTTTAAATCACTGCCGGGTGTCCATTCTGCTTTGGTATGCAAGGATTCCTAAATATGTTACTCAATTCAACGGGTGTGTTTTCCTTTGGAATACCGCATTTGTCTATGCTGGCTTTGAGGAGAGTGTGGTGTGGCTTGGCAATGCCAACGCAGACTTCTTTCCATCGGCAAAAAAGGCCAAGCAGATTGCTTGTGGATGTATTTAGAATTGCATGACTGGCATGCATTTGACGCGGGGAGTTGGATAATTCCCTGCGTGCAGGACGGAAAGAAACAAATGAATCAAACAGTCTGAAGGTTACTGTCCCTAAATACCTACTGTAGGAACCGTTGCATTCCGGGAACGTTTGCCACCCGCACTACTGCGCCCAGATGCTACCTCTAGTCTCGTGTCCTACTTGTAACCACCTTACCTACCCAAGACCTACCCTTCAAAGTGAAATAATACTTCAAGAAAGAGCAGCAAGAAGCTAGTAGGTTGGAGGCCAATCGCTACTAGGGTGGAGGCCATCGCTATTAGAAACAAAGAAAAAGAAAAAGAACATCACGGATTTGCTCCCACTGCAATGTGCAAGATGCCCCAGGCTCGCACGGAGACAGAGCCTGAGAGGCGGGATGAGGCTACTGCCAGTCCCACTGCGCAGTCACCGGTCTCCAGAGAGGCGCGATGGCATATGGGGCATACCATTTTTCACGATATATCATAATGTGTCATATGTGTTTCTTTCCCATTTCATGGAGTCATCTTTTGAGACATCCCCACCTCACAAGTTTGCTGCCAGCCCCATGAAAGCAACTGCTTGGAGTGAAAACTGTGAGGAAGACTGGTCGCCCGTTGTTCTGGTGACATGATGCTTTTAGAGGGATAAGTGCTGGCAACCTGGAAAACTTGTGCATCATTTTTAAAAGGCCCTGGCCCCCTACTTCTCAGTTAAGTAGGCGCATACTTAACGAAGTAAGGAGGTAACCTCCTAGGTAGGACGCAGGATCGTTATTCATTAATTTGGTTCCTAGATTATGTTGCAACAAAAACAAGCAGTGCTTGCGCATTGTTCTTTGAGGAGGAGGATGAAGAGGAGGAGACACAAGAGGCAACCGGACGGATGAGGGGTGTCGACCGACAGAGACTCGGTCACCAAGTTTCTTTGAATTGCTAAAAGGGCCATTTGGGTACTTGGAGTACCGGCTTGTCTTCAACTCCCCAATTACTATCATGCAGTGCAATGCTGTTGTCTCAACATAGCGTAGACATCTGTAGACCAAGACCAATGCTTTCTTGTTGACATGCCGTGGTTTTGGAGGTTAATGTGGATGCAGTTTGCAATGACACTGAGTCCACTCTTCCGGACAATCTTCCGGAGAATGAGGGGCAAAACTCAGTGCCAGGACATTGCGACGAAGCAACAAGCGCAGGACATGCACCCGTTTCAGTCAAGATGTGTGATCTCCTTTTTAACCGCGGGGGGGGAAGCTTTAAGAGGAAGAAGTAGCTTAAGTAAGCTTCCAGGTAGGCTGCAGGATAGCTCACGCTTCTTCGAGGAAGCCCTCCCCGCCTGAGGGCAGGGGGAGCTTCCTTGAAGAAGCGCTTGCACTAATGATTTGGTTCCTAGATTTTTAGGAAACGTAATCCATTGTATATATATTTTTGCATTATATGCATTGTGGTATGAGCCAGGGTCAAAGTGATCAGTGAGTGGATCTCAAAATGCATGTTTTGCTCAAAAACACAACTACCCTACGACTCGCTCACCAAAACAAATAAAAAGCGACCGACGCAGGAGTAAAACACACAGAACTCACCAATGCGCCGTCAGGAGAACCTCAGCAAGCCGCCCAAGAAAGGCATCGCAGCTCGACCCACCCATCACTTGGATCAGTTGTTAATGGAATTGTCCGGAATTGTTTTTTTGTTCGCCGTTTCTCTCAAAGGAAATGCCACACTTTGGTTTCTACATCAACCCTGCGTGCACATTTGTTTGAGGGGGACTCGACTCAAGTTGAAGTACAGTACATCCAAATAGATTTGACTTTCCCAAGGTCCGCTACACTTTTCGCGACGAGGGCCTCCTGGGCATCCGTTTGTCACGGGATGTGCCACCATGGATCCTCGAGGCGATGGTGGGATGAGGTAGAAGGTGGAGGCAGGTAGAAACCGGAACAAAAAAGAAAGGAGGAAAGGTCTAAAGTCTATAAAGGTCTTAAGAAAGACAGACCGAGCAGAAAAAGCATACAACAACAAACAACAACTAAAGAAAACTTGCATCAACCCTGACCCCTTCTGTGACAGGTGCGTGATGGGACCTTGGCGGCAAGGAAGGCTCCCAAGGTGCCAGTGGGCGGAGCTTCTTGGCGAGCAAACGCTGGGAGTGATTCAATGTGATTCATGATTCATATGATATAGTTCACCACAAGTGTGCCCACTAATGCGCATTCCGTGTACAAGGACGATGAATGCAATCAAATGCTTTTAGATTGCCTTTCTCGTAGAGAAATAGATAAGCTTTGCGAGATGGGTTTTGACGTCCAATGTCCTTCACCCGTAAAGACGCGAGGAAGCCTAATTGATTTTTTTAGTTTGGCCAATCCCTCAAACAGAAGAACAAAAGGAAGGTGTTTCGGTAGCTATATAGTGTGGCTAAAACAACGGTTCGGGAGCTGCAGGATAGGGGTCCAAGGAAGGCAGTCTTGCCTTGTCCTACGGCAGCCTTGGTCAAGCTGCAGCTTGGGCATTTCCTAATATGTATGGTGTGTTCTTGCTTCTTACATGTGTGTCAAAATGTAAGACCGTTTGTGGGTAACCTCGCGTTTGTCTCAAAACGGTTTTAGAAGTGGTGCTGTTGTTGTTAACCTCATGTTGCTATTTTCAGATATTATCCAATGACTTCTTTGCATAAAAATATTTTAGATAGCTGCGCCGCTGCCCCTTGAAAATTCTAAACAGGCTTGCGTTCTTAGAATGCAAGGTTGTGACAGCCATCAACGGATACGACCTCTCTGTGAAAGAGAACCCCAGAGCTCTCAGAGCGTTCCCTTGGCAGCAGCACTTGTGTTTTTGTCCTCACTTTTTGTCATTGGCCGGAATTGGTGACATGCTTTATACGCAGTAACAGCTCTAGTTTGTAAGTCGTGGAGATTGATGGAATTTTGATGAAAGCTCACAATCTCCATGCCCAGGCTCGCCAGACGTCCAGTGGTATTGGATATCGATTGGCCCATGGACGTCCCGATGCCTTCTGTGAGTTCAGCGTAGCCGACACCCAGTCACTAGCTTTTGCTTGATTGAAAGAGTTTTCCAGAACAGTAAATGAGTGTGGTTCGTGGCTTACCTGGTAGAGTTCAACAGTAAAATAGAAACTGCAGGTGATGTCATTGATGTAGTCTGAGACATACTCATATCCTCGATATTTATCAGTTTAGCAAATGCCAAGTGATACAGGATCACTGTGCAAGAAAGCCAGCGACGTGGGCTCATCAGCTCAGTTCGGCGACAAAGACTGATTGGCGAGCGTAGCTGAAAGAACCGAATCTGGAATCTGGAGGTAGTACGGCCAGGAGCCCCTAGTAGCGTCCCGAGTGGCTTCTTGTTACTAGTAGCTACTTGCTCCTAGTAGTACGGCCAGGAGCCCCTAGTAGGGATTCGAAATTGCTGATTGGATCGCAATTGCACTGTGTCCCATGCCCAGTGGGCCCATGCTATTGTGCTTGTGATTTCAAGAGAGTTTACAGACATTGGCAAATCTTGAACCAAAGGGCATAAGACCTGCCTTTATTTTGCCATATTTTGCCAAATTTAAGCTTTCGCAACCCATGAACAGTGCATATTCAGTGCATTCAACACCAAACTTTGGCCATTGTTTAAGGTCGCTGCAGTAGAAGTTGCAGAATTGCCATATGCATCCAGAGACCAGAGGTGCATTGATATGCCCCAGATCCGTATAATAGATTCCACAGATGTCCGTGAAACGATGGCCTGCCCAACGTTCATCGCAGTCCATCTCATGGAGCGGTGTTCAGGTGGGGCTTTAGAGAGTGCCAACCACAGGTTTCAGGTGTACATTGGCAGACGTCACTGGCGCTGCCACTGACTATGCACTATACACCTACCGGGCAAATTCATCATAGCCTGGTGGGGTCAATGGTTTTTGGTGGAGGCGTTAGGTAGTTGGTGATGCAGAAGATGCAAGCCGATGTTGTTGCGGCATCACTGGACATTGCTGTGTGATCTTTGTCCGATAAACGAAGGGAGCTAGCAACTTCATAAAGTTGGGCACTTTGGGCATTCACCAAGGAACCCCCAACCAAGAACAGCGACTGCAGAATGCTCGCTTCTTCACAAGACGGAAAAACATACAGGAGTACAAGGTGTCTAGTGATTCTAAGGACGAACGGTAGCGGACTTCGCCGTGTGCTCTCGACGTTACGGAGCTATTTTTGGCACCTAGGTGCCCAAGCACGAACAGGTTGACTCCAGAATGCTCTCACTTTCATCATGACCAGTCTTGGCACTACAGTTGCCAAACTGTGATATAGACACAATGAACGCTAGCGGTCTCCGGCTCCATGTGATATCGAGCTTCCCTGGCCATTTTGCGCATCTATGTGGGGGGGGCCAGTGTGTGACCAATTCAGGAACCCCCAACCACGAACGACTCCTTCATAAACCAGGAGCCTATGGGGGGGAAGTGGCGCCACCCCTGAAGGTTCTCCGGCGATGTTTACCACCTAGGCAGGGATGTTACGGATAGAGGATCCGAACCGCAAGCATTAGAAACAAGAAGCTACTAGGAACAAGTGCATCGCTTCTAGTAACAAGTGCCTTACTAGTAGTAGGGATGCACTTGTTACTAGAAGCGATGCACTTGTTCCTAGTAGCTTCTTGTTTCTAATGCTTGCGGTTCGGATCCAGAGCCAAGTCAGAAGCATCCAATACTGCGAGCTGCCCGTAGTTGTAGGCCGGCGCTCTGCAGAAAAGGGGCTTCCTGCACCGTAGTTGTGGGCCGGCCCTTTCTTGCTGGCTATCGTCCCCCCTTCTCAAGTGTCTATTTGACAGTGAGTCAACATGACCCTCAGTTGGCTTGTAAATGCACTTGACTATGTGCTTGCAAGGTCACCGGTGTTCGACTCCGGGTAGAAGAAAAGGAGGAGGAGCTCTCAGAGGAGATCCCAGACGAGTTCGACAGTCCACAGGTCGGAGGCTTTAAAGGGAGGAAACAACAAACAATTGCAACAGTGCGTCATTAATTCGACAATGTTTGTGTCTCATTTAGAATTATTCCAGTTGCCACCGTTGATATAACATCAGCAAAGGACAAGCCTCAGTTTTGCTTGACTATCAATCGGAGAAGCTTGGACACGTATCCAGGTGTTGCACAGGTCCAGGTGTTCGAAGGGGTGGACAAGGTGAACAACCATGCTGGTGGTCCTTGGGGGGGTTGTTAGAAAACAATGCATGAAAATAGAGTAAAAATATATATAGAGAATGTGTTGAACATATTGACAGATTCCTAGTGAAGATGTGTGGATTTCCCATAGACTACTGTGGGATGGCTATGATACCAAGCGAGAAAGGCACGAACCCCCTGCATGGCACCAAGCATTCTCCTTAAAAGATCTCCGTGTGCTTTGCAAAATGTCGCTCAATGCAGTCCTGTCAGGCCAATGTTTTGCAGCTGCTTCCCATCGAGACTCTCCAGGATGCGGATTTGCCTTGACAAGCTGAAAGTTGATCTAGATCGCTGAAGTACTACAAAACGCGAAAACAGTCAATGTACTTGTAATGTTGCATCCTGTCCGAGACCACCCGTTTTCAAGGCAAAGGCAAGGACTGGAATGGAGTTTGCACAGGCGGATCTGAAAGGCCGAACATGAATATCTCGCCAGGAGCAGTTCCCCCACAACGCCAATCTTCAGCAGCAGTTCGCAAGCTTAGCTGCCAGCTTTCAAGCATGGCGGCCTATTCGTGGAGATGGTTGCTCTGCAGAAAGATGTTGGAGAAACCTGGAGGGAAAGGAAAGTGGAAATTGATTGTCAGCTATCAGGGTGAAGGTACACAGTTTGTGTAGTGGGCCAGCAACGGTGGCAACAGGTAACTCCTTACTGCATCGGTCTGGGTGACAAGCAATTCCTCCATCGAATCCACGATCGGAGTGCTGCTTGAGCCAGAGAGCCCTTTAAAGAGTTTAATGTATTTACTAAAAACAAAATATGGATGCGGCAAGTCTCAGCAACAAGCTTTTGAACGAGACGACGTCCGAGATTTCAGGCAACTGCTACTACCGGGCCGTTCTCTTCGCTTGGCTTGAACATTGCTTCGCTCAAGGGTTGCAGCGCCCTCTGCAAGCTTTGCTAGAAAAGCTTGGCAACGGCAAAGAGGAGACATCGGATGCAAATCTGCTTTACGTTGGATGAGAATTTACAACCTGTTTTCCAGCAAGCTGTCGATAGGTCACACACACACGCAGACGGTGGCATTTCGTGGCACTTCATGACGCATGCTTGTGTCATAAAGGTATTGATAGTTGATTTGGTGACGACTGACAATGACGGAAGCTACTGAAGAAGACATGAGAAGACGCATGCAACGCATGCAACGGTTGCACTGCCGCTGTTTGCAGGCCCAACTTTGCCAAAACCGCTTGAAGGCTTGGCTGCTTCAACGGCAAAAATGCACAGATGATGCTGGTGTTCAAAGCATTTTGGAGCGTTTGACTGCAGAGTTCAACCGCAAGGATGTGGACTATGCGTTTGTCTACTGCCACTCTAGCTCGAATTGCAGGGTAACATCTTGTTTGTTATTAAGTACGATGACTTTGTGGTCGCATGGATGCGGGTTTGGATCGCTTCGCATCGAGGAATTTTTCAAAGCTACAGGCCATGTTACATATATTATGTGTTTTTTCTATGTGAAGGATCCACTCTGTCACTTGAAGCATGTCTAGTACATGGGGATGAAACGATATTAAAGGCATGAGGTAGATAGTAGATACCACCAAAGTACTTGGCCCACCTTCCTGCCGTATAAAGTCTTCTTCCTTTCTGCAGTTCCACAGCGGCGAGATCCGTCATCTTCACTCAATGCCAAGGCCTACGTCAGCTTGTGGCCCAGTACGTGCGACTACACGCGAAGGACTCTATTGATGGCAGCTTGACCTTGGAGAGCTGGGCCTTTGCAACTGGGGCAACGAACATCGACGAGTACTGCGAGCAACACATTTGCTCCATGCAGAAGGACACTTCTTTGACCTGATTTTTGTTGATTTGCATCAACATGGGACTGCTAGTTGTCCCATCAAGGCAGGTCGTTTACAGTGGCTGAAGAGGATATTGCCCAATGTGCGCAATGGTGAGAGCTTAGGTAGCTAAGAAAGCATTTGTCTTAAAGCATTTGTCTTTCCAAAGACCTTCTGTAATTAGACGTGATACATATATAAGTACCTTGATCACAATATAACGATCCCCTTGTGCAGCATATCACACTCTTGGTACCAATTGTGGGATAGGTGAAGTACAGTAGCGTTGTATAATTGGGCAGCGCAGTAAAATTGGTAGACTCGATGTGCATATCCAGTTGCCGAGCGTTGCAGTTGTCCTCTGGCGCTCGTGAATCTTGGTCCTCCTCTTGTCCTCCTAGCTGCCTCTGGCCGCGCTGGCTTGTCCTTTTGTGTCCTCCCCTTGTTCCCCAAACAGTTTTGTGGCCTCGTCCGGGCCTTGTCCGGGTCTGTCGGCGTTGTCGGCCCTTCATCACCGCTTTGTCCCGGCCTTATAACGTGCTTGGCCACGCCATTTTCCCTTTCTTCACCGTCTTGCCCGGGTGTGTTTTCGTGTGATTGTGAATGCGACAGAGATGCAGCGTGTTTGGCATGATCTGCGGATTTTCTCATGATATATATATATATATCCCTTCGTGCTTACACATGTGACAACCTCAGGAATCAGGAGCCATTATTTTCTGACAATTTGTCTACATGCCATTCCCAACACAGACGTTACCACCGACATTGAAACTCAAGGAGTTGACGCCAAAGAATAATGCTGAAACTGTGTGGGTCTATGATGAGAATTTGTTTTTCAATGTTTGTCTAAGTTTTCGAAAAATGCACTTTGTGTTGTTGTTTGTTGTTGTTCAAGTTCAAGCTAATACCAGAAACAATTGAAAATCAATACGCTATATATTATACATAGAGGTCCCTCGTCCATATATATATATATGTGTATGTGTATATAGACAAATAGAGAGAAAGAGAGAGAGAGAGAGATGTGGTAACATACAAGAATATACAAGGAGTAAACGTAGGTATGGCCTTGCCTCTAGGATAATGAAGAAAACAAGGTCGAAACTTGACGAAAGTTGAGTTTGTGAGACTCCCAGGATGCTGCAGATCATGTACAGTGGGTTTGCCCCAGGGTTCTGGAGACCATCGTGCGCATTTGCATGGTGGACCGAGAGACAGCGCGCTGTACCTTTATTGACTACGGACAGGAGCGAAGAGGGGATGGTCAACATGTTTAATTGTGAAAGACACAGACGATTTTGGCACATGCTCTTCGGAATTTGTGCCAAGTAAGGTTGGACCATCCAATAAATCTTCCTTTTCGCTCGCACCCTCGGCGGGAGGTTTGCCATGCAACACGGCCTACCTGCCTTGCATAGGCCAAACCGGGGCCACCGCCCTACGTGGGTGCCACCTCCGTGCCCACTGCTGCAGAGCTGACGGTTGGGGGTTCCCCAGAGCCATGGCCAGGGTGAGGGGGGGTGTTGCCCAGATTCGGAGTTTCAACTCTGCATGAGTCTCCTAAGTTCAGGATTGTGGATTTTTCAGGAAGGGTGCACAGATGTCAGCTATTGTGAGGTATTTGATGATCTAAGGCTAGATCCAGAGCCATGTGGCTAGAGCAAGCTGTGGTGGTGAAGGCCTTGATTCACTTCCTTTGTATAATGTTAACAAAGCCGTGATGGATGAGGCCAGAAGTCTGCAGCAACAGGCTTCCCGGAAAACCCTCGTTACGTGATTTTTGATCGGACAAAACGACCTTGGCAGCAGAGGAAACCACACCAAAACCACTTGTTATTTGAGTCTTAACGAGGCTAGTGGTGCGTTTCCCCATTTGGTTCTCCATATTATACTGTAGTTGTCTTGACAAATTGTAACATGTTGTGACCAGCGGGATCACAACATTTAGAGGCTCAAGGTCTTTTGCATACGTCCTGTTTGTGAGTTCTCCTGATTAGGTTTGTTTACTCATGATGAGCATGTGTTTTTCCAAGTGGCTGGAAGGTATAGGGATGTATATATGGGGAGCTTACTCCTCTACATATGATAACGTCTATCCATCTATCTATCTATCTATCTATCTATCTATCTATGCCTACCTGCCTGCCTGCCTGCCTGCCTACCTACCTAGGCGTACGTACGTACGTCGTACGTACGTGCTGTCGTCGTGATGCATCAACCCCACAAAAGGCAGTCAAACGATACTGGGCAAAAACACACACAAATACTACCCCTCTACAAAAGAACTCATTTCAGTCTCCCAAGGGGTTGGACTCCTCTCCGCAAAGAGTACAAAACAAACTAGGAACCCGAGAACAATCCCTTGGAGACTACAGTGGTGTAATGTGGTGTAGCAGTGTTGCAAGTGTGTTTGTCGTCAGGGATACTGGACATAGCAAGTGTCAAGAAGATGGTAATGCTTTATTTTGACAACGTTTGAACAAACAAGCATAATGCGTTAGGTTGCCTACATGTATGCGTTACATGTTTGTTGCCCCAAGGACTTTGAGTACCCAAAGAACATCATGCTCGAAGGTACAAAGACCAAAGACCTGTTGGAACTGTTGTCTCCCCAACGGGCCCATGCCACCGAGGAGATTTTTCTCCTCTTGAAGCCCGGTCACTACGACATTCTGGTGCCCAGAAGAAAGTTGCGACCAAGGCCCGAAAATCTTGAGAGTCTCAAGGAGAGTCTCAAGAGGGACAAATAGAGATACTCACGCATACATTGCTTGTGCTGGTAGAGATTGTTTCACAGTGCCTATCAGACCTTGGTTCTGAGTTTCTTGGCGCTCTCAGACCGGCAATCTGGCTGTTTGTCAATGAGTCAAACAACTAAGATGTGCTTCTGGTTGCATATCCGAGAAGTCCTGTCCGATGCAGATGGTCAGGTGCTCACTCCAGGCACAAACCTTGCGCACAAGTGACAATCAGTGACAAGATTTGTCGAGTAGCAAGTGTGCATCATGCACATTCATAAGTTGGAGAGGGCTTGAGGTGGGACAGTGGACTGAATATAAGATAATACAAGCACTTGGGCCTGAAAGACCAAACTACAGGATACAACAAAGCCGTGGCTGGAGGAGATCCTCCTGCCAGCACAGAACCTTGGACATGCGGCATCCCAACCAACCCATCAGCCTGGGATTTGTTCCGTAGGGCTGCAACATGATGGATGTTTTCGTTCCGCGTCTCAAACACAACCAAGCTCAAAACTCTGGAGGCCCCACAAGTTGGAGAAGACTCAGGCAGGAGTTTGGAAGCTGGATTGTCGCTATGTGAAGATGTCCTATGAAAACAGTGGACTGGTAGACCCCACAGCCAGGGCGCAAAGGAGTACTGGCATGAGGTAGTCGGATTTATTGGGTCGGTTTGCTTCCGGCTTAGGCCGCAGTGCCACTGGCCCAAAGATCGTGATTTTCCAATGTGTTCAGCACGTAGGATTTGTATAGGCTTGCTCTAGCACCAAGTGTCCTGCAATGAGATGAAAACGATGCACTGCATGCCTAATTCAGAAAGCATGGACTGTAGCCTTTCATGATGGATAGGTATGTTACTTGTTTACACAAGTATGTTCCACTTATATAGAGGTGTTTGGTTTGTTCGACAGAGGTTGATGCGCTGTTTGTCTCTCCCCTTTGACGTGCTTTCACCCATTCCGATCTGTGTATTTATTGCCAGGATGTGGGCGAGCTTTGTGCTGGCTTCAGGGCAGTGATGAGGCAACAGCCAGGAGGTTGTTTATGTTAGGATTGCGGATTACGGAGACTCCCACACATTCTAAGAAGAGCCCAACTCTGCTTCCCGACATGAAGCCTTTTGCCCAGGGATACTCCAGAACTTAGTGGGAGCAAGTCTGGGTGTGTGTGTGTGTATGTCCCTTTTTGGTCAGTTTGCTTCAGATTGGAATCAACAAACACGTCACATCAAAGGAAACCAGGGCTTACTTGCTTATGTTCTTCCTCCGCAAGCTTCGGTTGCTTTTTTGCCCACCCTTTGTGGCTCCTCTGGCTTACCGCGCTGTGGACAAAGCACCCGAAGTCAAACCTACTTGTCATCCTCAGTGACGGGGTGTCAGACACCACTCAAAGCTTCAAGGCAAGAACAATGTAGCTAGAAGCTACTAGTAGTAATGCCCTTGTTACTAGTTAGCTACTATTGAACAAGGATCGTTCTCGGACGGAGAACGTGTGAGACCATTGAGTGAAGGCGCTCACAGGAACTCCAGGAGATGTCATTATGTTGTTTCCTTGCATTCCTAGAGCATGCGATTTGTATGAAATCCCTGGCAGCATGTTTGGTATCCGTATCATTTATATATCAATGACTGAGATGCTGCCATTTCATGGCTTGACTGCAACTACACCTCTACAAAACAATGCGGAACACCTGAAAGGCGTATTGAAGAGTTCTACCAATGTGCTTCCAATAGTAGTTAAAGATATATCTTGATATATACAGTATATATATATATATTATATATGTGTATGTATTCTATGCTCGTCCCCATATATGCAACCCCCACTTGTACCCACATTGTGGCGTGTTGTAGGTGTTCACCATTTGTTATAGCATCTGTTATAGGCAAAGAATGTTTCTGGAGGTGTTTTCCATAAAGGATAAATTTCAATGTTGCACCGAGGAAGACCCTTTGCAGAGGAAAACATGTTACTCAAGAAACAGTTTACATAAAGGAGGCGATTGCCAACAGAGAAGTCCTCATAAAAGGAAGAAGAAGACCAAGGATCAAACATCTCCAGGAAGAAACTTCTTTGCAAGGGCCTTTTTGTGAGAAAGGATGAAACGGTTGTAGTCCCTGAATGTTAAAGGATACTTGTGAGGAATGAGAGCAATCCTGTAGATTTGGCAAAATAAAGGACAGTATTGCTTGGAGAAAACCAACAACCATATCATTGAAAAGACTTTGGAAAGGAATACAAGGGTGGACTCCGAGATCTCTGTCTCTCTCTCTCTCTCTCTGTCTCTGTCTCTGTCTCTCTCTCTCTCTCTCTCTCTGTCTCTCTCTCTCTCTCTCTCGTCCTCTCTCTTTTTGACCCATAGAAACGCTTATTGAATTTGTAATGCATATTGAATAACAATAGTTCATGAATATCAAGGTTTCTTTCATTAAAGGGCCATGTTGCATGAGAAAGAAATTACAATTGTAACGAGCAACGAGGCGTTGTTTGGATTCCTGATCTATCACCTGGTATATGGCAGTGTTTGAAGTTTTTTGCATAGTTTATTTTCTCTCAGGAGATTCAATGTGAAAATCAGATGGAAGGTTCTAGAAGTGAATGATGATGACCATACGGGATGTTAAGAATGAAGACAACGTGAGAAAGTGGCGGATAAGCATGTCAGATTGAGCAAAGAGTGGCTGTGGTGTGCTATCACCACAGCCAGAGATTTCAGCAAAATATACTTGATGAATGAAACAAGCGGATGAGGAGATGTATCAGGATTTGGACATATATAAAGAATTTCAATCACACGTGTGAAGGGTTACGGTACGAAGGGCAAGAGAGAACCTGCAATAGAGATATAGAACGAAAATTGTGTTGATGGGAAATTAAGTTTTAATATTTTCATGGGTTTGGGTGCTGTTGCAATTATGGAGTTACATGTAGATAGTTTGCGAGCTGAGAAGTTTGCGGAAAATTTACAGCACGAAGGATCGAAGGATTTGATTCTAAGTAAATACTAATTAAAAACTTAATTATAGCTTCTACTAGCTTCTTGTTACTACTAGTAAGGCACTTGTTACTAGTAGCGATGCCCTAGAGTGGATTTGTGATGATTGATATATTTGGTGGATAGCTGCTGTCATACTTATTGCAAGCCAAAACGACCCTGATGGTGATGTATTTAGATATCGCAGTTCATGCCAAGTCATCCTTGCCAAGTGTGCACGTATGCACTGTGTAACTGTGTGTGTGTGCATCCATATCCATATATATATATATGGGTTGTGGGCAGGTACTAGCACCAGTTAATTATACTACAAATACCACTAGGAACAATGCAAGGTGGGTACTGGGGGGGTACCATATCTTTGCATATATATATATACATATACCCAAACCTAGAAGTTCTATGTAGGAGGACCATTCCCATCCTTTCCAACTTCCCTCCTGCCCCTGTGTCAACCCACTGCGCATTCAAGAGGAATATGGTGTGTTCTTGTCGAGGCTCAATAGCACCAGGGTGTTTTATTAGAGCCGCACATGATGGATCTCGTGGTTGCAGCTATCGCTGCAGCTGTGGTTGCGGCGTCGCTGTTTGCTTGTGGCCTGCTGCTAACAAGCTGCACTAAGTTCACCGACTCGGGCATCTCTGAGGAGCAAGGCCTAGGCTTTGGCTGCTTGAACGATTTGCAGAAGATGATCTGTGAGAATCAGGTTCGGGCGTTGCCACACATTGGCCTCATGAAAGGACAGATTTGGGGGAAGCATTGAGCGGAGGCTCTGAAGGGCCAATTGAGAGTTTACCTTTGAGGTCTCGCACAGGCCTCACAGTGTTCTGCAGAAAACACAGGCTGTTGACAATTCCACACGCACCGAAGGATACCGAAGGTGCTTATTGTGTTGGGACGCGTTCACACAGCTCATAGCTTTAACTCAGGGTGTGGCTTTTTTGTTTGAGAATGGAATTGCATATCCGGGTGTGTTTGGATGGGAAGTGGTGATGGGAGAAAGCATGCAGAATCACAGGGAAAATGCATGGTTTTGCAAATTTGAACATGAAGCGGTACGGTTTCGGTGAGAAATGACCCAACCTTTTGGAAGGAGTCGCGTGTTTGTCTTTCAGGGATTTGATGATATATACAAGAGTTAACGATAAGGCATTATCGACATAAGACCTAGAGGACGTAGAGATTAGCAATACAATGCGGTGGACGTAAAAGAGAAGTACATAGGAAATAACAAAATGGACAAGCATTGTTGGAGAATCTTCCCCCCCGACAGATCTAGAGTTTGAATGGGGTCGAAAAACAGAGTGTAATCAACTAACAACAAAAAATGATCAACATAAGACCTAGAGATGAACGGTAGCATGCTGCGATTTAAAAAACATGTATAGGAAATAAAGTAATTGCAGGCATTGTTGGATATATAGGTTGGACCCCTGAAAAAAGAGGTTACAATGTTAAAGAGGTCAAAAACAGAGTCCATTCAATGGAGCGGGATACAGCACACTAGTTTACACCTGGACGAAAACAGAGAATAACCAAGGGCAGGTTGCAGGCATTGTTGAATGTAATCTAACACATGTTGTTTTTTAATGTACAATTCCAAGGGGGTCAACACATACTAAGACATAGATGATATGTACAAAGATATGCATAGAGATGAACTGCTCGCATAAGATCTGATCCATATGTTTGTGAATTTGTATCATCACTTGTATCCCTCAAAAGTGTACAATTTCAATAGCGTCCACATCTAGAGTCTAGATAATTCGTTTACGAAAAGTCTGGGGTGTTGGCTTGGACACGGATTAGCGCCTGTTTTCCTGGTGCTGTCTCTCGTGGTTATCGTCACGAAGCCACCTGAATATGAACCCAAAGTTGGAAGCGCCAAAGCAAGTTTACTTTCAAAACTGTAGGCCACTGGGTGTAAGTAGGGACACAGAACAGGCAGGGACAAAAAGCAACTTAGTGCAGCAAGCAATATAGAACACGCGTTGGCGTGCACGCGCAAGCCAGATAGTGGTCCAACAATTTGTTTGCGTTCTTAGTTGCATCCGTAAGTGAAAGGCTAGAGAACGGCGCAATGTGGCAAAGCCACTACAGCCATCAGCCTCATCACCCAATGCGACTGTCGGCCCCACACCAGTACCAGCCTAGTCCAGCCCAAGCCGACGCTTCAATTTCAGTGTGGATTGTGACAAGCAGATCATCAGACGTCCCTCAGTGGAAGTGCGCAGAGAGAATCAGAAAGCTTCCAAAACCCATCATCGCAGTGATGCAAAAAGCAGCAAGACCGCAGCGAGCCACTGTGGCACACACCCTTGCGCAGCAGGTCGCTTGTAATCTCAACTTCTTGGATTAACATGTAGCTTCTTCATCACACAGCTCGCCGGACACTTGCCCAGCTCAACACCTGATTATATACCCATTTCATCCCAACTCAACTCGACAAAATAATGATTGTTCAATTTATTGGTAGATAGATCATGTCTTGAGCCCAATACTCAATTACCACCAAGCCAGCTTTTGCCCACTCAACACTTGTCTAGCAAACTCCCTGCGAGTGCCTCGTCATGCGAGAGTTCTAGCTGGTGCAGGAGGAGCCTGCCCAGCGTGCCCCATTTGCCTCGAGTGTATGCCAGAGCTTCGGCAGTTGCCGTGTGGCCGCGCTTTCCACGAGCACTGCCTGGTGGAGATGATTGCATCATCCAAGCCCAAGATCATTCTTACTTGCCCACTTTGCAGATCACCCATGATCACAATGTCGCCGCAGGCAATCGGAGCTCAGAATGGCTTGGAGAAGAAACTTGGCTTATTAGGGCTGGGAAGCAGGTGTAGTGCAGAGATACCGTAGATACCCTATCTGCTTGCAGCAGGTTGTATCACATGTTATCATATAACAGCGAGATTTGGCTCAAGACTCCTGTCCAGCAGAAAACAATTGCACACATTCGCTGTTCGAGGACGTCGGGGTGATCGTTTCAACACTATTGCGTTTTGACCAGTCAACGCGCGCTCGCGTATAGCGTTGCGGCGCAGTGACGAGTTGAGACATTGTCGGCCTTATGTATAGCTCCATGGTGTCAATTCTATAGGCTGGGTCAAAGTGACTATACCTTCGGGAGCAAAGCGCCCTGAATAGCCTCACTTTGTTTTTTCTTGGTCGGTCGCTCGCCCAGGAACCAAGACTCTCATCTTCCCGCATGCCGAGCAGTTTTTGGAAGATGATGGCCAAGTTAATGCACAAGTTGTAAGTGCGATTTCCAAGCCAGCATTGATGCTTCTTTGTGTGCCATCGACCGACACGGTCCGTCTGCATTGCAGAGATTGGCACCTAAGATGTGAAATCTGGTTGTTTCACGATACGCCCGTACCACTATTGCTGCAACTGCTAAAGCCAGGGCACCACTATGTGGGGAAAAAAGCATCCACAAATACGCCCATGAACCGGTTTGGATTGGACATAGCCACCCACAATCTCAATAATACATCATCACCCAGTGGGTTTCCACAGACAACCATCATCTATAACTATAAATAAAGCATCATCAAACATGTTCAACCAGCACCATCGGAACGGGTGGATTCTTGAAAAACATTTTTTGCGGCTAGTTGAAGGAAGAGTGCAGACTCTTTCCCTTGTAAATGTGGCCGTTTTTGTTTGCTCGGCGAAAACCACCTTGTCACCTCTGGTCTCAAAAGACACAGTGACTGTCAAGGCTTTCGTTTCTCGCCATGCTTGGAAGGTGTGGAAAGCTTGGCAGGCACACCGGAGTTGCCCAACTGCAAACACACCCACTTGTTTGCTCAACTTGCTGCCATGGCCGACAAACATGCACCGGAGACATCCCGCGAAGTGTTGCTGAACCAACAGCAGATACAATCCGTGCAAGTGGCACTCAGATGTTACATGCCTTCCAGCTCCCGCCTCTTTTTGGATCGCATTTGCGAGAACGGACACGGGCGCTTCTAGCATCCTTCTCTGCTGGAAACACCTCACTATCTCCCTCTCTCTCTCCCCTCTCTCTCCTTTTTTTCTTTCAACTCTCTCAGCTTTAGACACAACGGCCGAGGAACCCAGAGCTTCCATCCCCCAGATCTTGCAACAAGTTCTTCACGGTGCCTTCAAAACCGGACAGCATATGACTGCGTTCATACCTTTTGATGCAGATCTAGATTTGTTAGCCAATGCATAGCTTGCCTTGGCATCAAGGTTCAACAACAACTCATCACTAACGCTGTTCCCACAGTTAACCTACCACCCAGGTGGTATTTGCATGTCAAGTGCAGAAGTCGCCTGTGTCCAATTTCAGCTTGAATCTCCCTCCTGCCTTAAGCCAATGTCACCAGATGAAGCTTCTTGACAGGCAGAGATTATGGTGTGTAGAGCCAAGAGCCTCCATTATGGCCGAAACATGTTCCAGTATTTGCGAGAACCTGCAAGACGAGATACTGTATTTGGGGTTGAGGGTTGCTTCGTTTGAGTGTCCAATTCATCAAGATGCTTTGTGCAGACCGTGAGGAGGGTGTATTGCATCAAACAGCGAGCGCGCAGGGCGCGTTCAGGAGGGTTATTGATGAGCATACTGTATGAACAGTCCCAAAAACTTCCAAGGGAGCCCAGAAATGTATCATGATAGATGATGTGCTTACTTCTGGAGATGTAGACTTCACTCTTGGGTCCTGGATAGACCTTCCACAGGAACCTTAATGGTACTCTCGAGGTGCAAACATAAAGAGCAAAAAGCGCTTGAGCTTCTAGTTTCAGCCATGTGCTGTTCGAACCTGAGGCGTCCCAGCTGAGCCAAGGGGTGTTAGTCGTGGCATGTCGTGGCCAGGTGTCTTGAAGAGAAGTTGGTGCACGAGCTGCTTGAGCACCGTCGAGACTGGAAGGAGCTCGACCACTTTCAAGGGCAGCTAACGAGCGCCCCTAGGCTGTAGGCTTGGAATGCGAGTGCTTGGTATGCTGCTTTGATCTGGATGGTTTTTGATGTTTTTTGGGTTCCAAAGAACTGGTTGGGTGGGAGAGAACTTGTCCCAGCTGCAGTAACAGTAATTCAAATCAATGGTGGCGGCAGCGCAGGCTGCCAGACTTTCTTAGAAGGCTTGGATGATATGGACAATCGACCTGGACTGGTAACACGTTTGCTGAGAGAGTTTCTTAAGTTCTCCAGGGGACAGTAAGTCCTTTTTCTTGTGTGTGCAGCTCAGGTTCTAGAGCCATTGTATCACATGATGCAGGCTGCAGCTCCGCATGAGCTTCACCTCGGTTTGTCGTTCAACTGTTTGCCAGGGAATGACATGGATGTTTGCACAACTTAAGCAAATGACTCAAGGTCTAACATGGTTGTTTGGAGTCACGAGTGATGTTCTTGCCTTCAAGATGGCAAGGGGTCACAGGATTACTATGCAGCCTTTATGACAAGTTCTCCCATTGGCTTTGCCAGGTTCCTTCACAACCAGAGATGTCTGCGATGCGCGCACTGCTGCCCTGTCTAGATGATTTCTTGCAGAACACACGCCCTCAGCAGGCACTGTTCGGTTTCGTACTTTTCTTGTGTTTTTTTTCCGGTTCCATAACTAAACACCGAACAGGTTGTTCGTTTCATGCTCCATTGTACAAAACCTTTTTTGTGCTCGACTCCATGGTGAAGCCGCAGGAAAGGGGCGACGAAGTCCGCAAGCGAGGGCAATGACCCCTTGGACACCCATCACCCCTGATAGAAACAAAAAGCTATTAGTAACAGGTGCATCGCTAGTAGTAACAAGTGCCTCGCTAGTAGTAACAATACAAACTTAAACATACCAACCCGTCCACGAGGTTCCCACGTCTCGCTGTCGGAACTCGGCTCCTTCTTGGCACGGTCGCTCTCCGCACTGTCAAACACCGTCTCTTCCTCCACCGGTTCCAAAAAACACTTTTTTGTGAGCCCTCATGCTCTTTTTTATTTTTAACAACCCTTCATGAGGCACCGCACATAACCAACAATCCCCTTCCAGGGTTTTGGGGGAACAATGTGTCAAAGACTTCATAATGTCATAATGTAGACCAACTTCGGGGTGGTATTTCTGCCGTTTGTGCGACTCGCTTCAAATCACGACATGAACATGTTTAATGAATTGAACTCTCTTCATAAGAAGCTACTAGGTTAGAGGCCATCGCTATTGGGTGGAGGCCATCGCTACTAGTAACAAGAAGCTACTAGTAGTTCAATCCGTTCCGTATCTCCATTCGAGGTGGATGCCCCACGTCCGAAGCATGCAGTGCGTAACAGTCGCGAGCGCAGTGAGCCCAAACCTGGTCTTTGCTGTGTTTGCATCAAGAACGAAGCAGAGATCACAGCCAAGTGTGCCTTGGCACGTTGTGGTTTGGAGCTGATTAATATCACCTCAAAGATCCTCAAAGGTCCAATATTGCAGTTCGTTCATTCGTTCACCGAGAATGTCTGACAGCATATCCCCCAAGTGACTTCCGTAAGTTATTGCCGCAGAATGACAAGCCTGAGTGAGATCCAGCTTCACCGAACTTTCTGCCACATGGGAGAAGTCTGAGTCTGTGTTGACATCTCCGAAATTGGAGCTTCATCACATTGCGAGCTTATTGCGGCCCGCTATTTCTCGATCAGCCGGCCGGCCGGCCGGCTGGCCAAGAACCACGGTCCAGCTGGCTGGCCGGGCAAGATCCATGGTCCAGCCGGCCGGCCAGCCGGCCGGCCAAGAACCACAGCCCGGCCGGCCGGCCGCCCGGCCGGCCGGCCCGCCGGCTACTACTACTACTACTACTCCTACTCCTGCTCCTGCTCCTGCTCCTGCTCCTGCTACTCCTACTACTCCTACTACTCCTACTACTACTACTACTACTACTACTACCACTACCACTACTACCACTACCACTACCACTACCACTACCACTACCACTACCACTACCACTATCACTATCACTACTACTCCTACTACGACTACGACTACGACTACGACGACTACTACTACTACTACCACCACCACCACCACCACTACTACTACTACCACTACTACTACTCCGACTACGACTACGACTACCACCACCACCACCACCACGACTACTACTACTACTACTACGACGACTACTACTACTACCACTACCACTGCCACTGCCACTACCACTACCACTACGACTACTACTACTACTACTACGACTACTACTACTACTACTACTACTACTACTACTACTAGTACTAGTACTAGTACTAGTACTACTACATGGCCGGCCGGCCGGCGGCTATGGCCAGCCGGCGAAATAGCAAGCCGGGTTGCCCGCGCTGTCCTTAATCAGCAGCTGAGTGTTATATTACGTTCAGCTGTCGGTGTGTTCAAACACAGAGGGTACATCCGCTACCACATCAATTGATATGCGCAGCAGAGAGATTGAGAGGAGGTGGAGCTAGAGAGACTTGCTGCAGTTCAGTTGAAACGACTGTGTCCACAGCCGTTTCTTGTTCTGAGGTGGCTGCTCGTATCATCGCAGGTGTTTGGAAGAATATGCCCACGCAAGCACTTCTTGGAGCCAGCTTGCGTGCAAGTTGCACAGGCTACAACCAGGGCTGATAACTGTGAGGGTCGAGGAACTGTTCAACTGTCCAAGAGAGCACCTAGCCTCCTTTCTGCTCCATGACTCCATGCGAATTAGTGCATATCATATCACATTAAAAAAGAATCCGTCAAAAAAGACAGCCACGTAAGTTCGACCGGAGGCGAATCTTTGGGCATGACTTTCTGATTTCGCACCTGGGTGATGCGATGGCAGCTTTACTCCTTCCACAGCCCTCCCCAAGGCAGGAAATCTCTTTGTCAAAACACAGGATCGCTGTTTGATGCTCAGTACGCTGTGTTTGTGTTTTGAAAAGGAGCTTCCACCGAAGCCTGGCGTGACTCAACTGGTGACAACGAACTTTGAGCAATTGAACAAGACAGGGGGTGGAGGAAGTTGAGTAATCGAAATCGTTGGATTGTTCGTCGTAATATCGTTGCATTCCTGGTTCAAAAGGGTTGACGAAGAACTAAAAGTGAAGTCCAAGACCTGTGTGTCTTTTTTTACACGCGTGTCTTTTCTTTTTTTGGCCTGGGGGGGTAGGCCGCTAGAAGAGGAAGAGGTAGCTACTAGCCACTAGGACACTACTACATACTGGACGCAGGATAGATAATGATTTGGTTCCTAGATTTTTATGGGAAACTGAACACTTGGCTAGGGATCGTCCTTGTTGTGGGCGACTGCCTTTATCACAGATGTTCCTGAGCTGTTTGTCCGCGGCGGTCCCACTGCAGTTGCATAAAGTAGCTGCATTCCGTCAAAGTCATCCTTGCTCCATCCCATTTTCAGTAGTGGACTTGAGTTGCATTTGAAGCAGCACTAAATAGAAAGCAACAATAGCATTTGGGCATGTGCTAGCTTGGTCGTGGAACAAGCAGTAATCCTACCCTTCTGGTAGTTTTCTTATCATTGCTAAAAGATCGGCCGTATTCCTGAACAGAAGAAATTGACTTTATACAATGTCATGCAAATGCTCAAACAAGAGTCAAACAAGGAGCCCAGAGAAGGATCAAAACTTTATCAACAGGTGAGGCAAAGGCAAAGCTGGTCAATATATGAATTTGCCATGTTGTTGGTTTTGCAGAAAAAGGGCAACAAATGCTTTTGAGACGTTTGACCCTTGACATTTGTTCGAGGAACTTGAAGAAGTGCAGCCAGAGCTTGAACCAGCCGACAGTTTTTCGGACACAGGTGACAAAGCCTTCCCAAGTTGCCACCTGGGGAACTCCAACCTAATAGCGTCCTTGCTCCTAGTAGCGATGCCCTTTGCTCCTAGTAGCTTCTTGCTCCTAGTAGTATGGCCAGGAGCCCCTAGTAGCGTTCTTGCTCCTAAAACATGCTTTTTCCCCAGGTCTTAGCTTTACATGTTCGTATCAAAAACACTTAAGGAGCTATCCATCACGCTTTGCAAGGAGCTGCAACGAGTCTGCCGGTTCGAAAACTTTGGCATTCGTCCTTACGAGTGCAGGCGGCCGCAGTCCCAGCAGATGCAGAGTGGGCACTTGGGGGTGGCCCTTGGGGTGCCCTGCGTAATTTGCTTTGGGGAAGATGGAGTCCTGAAAACGCTCCACTGTGGATTCAAGGCGCATTTGTGGCTCTCCTGCAACGGGAAGACCAGGGACGTCTCAGACGACCTACATCCTTTAAATGAAGGGCTACTGACTACAGTTGCAAGATCCTTCTTGCACTTGAATTGACCGCCTCAGCCTGGACATGAACTTTGGGCCACCCAAAATTTAAAGATAGTTTGATTTTTTTGAAGACCTGTGCTCCTCAGGCACTGCCTCAAAGACTTTTGGTTCCAGAAGGTTTCGACTCTGTGCCGCATCACAGACATTCGCTGCCCAGCAGAAGTTGCAGGACTCTAAGATTGTCAGCCTGTTGTATCTTACTCACCGTCCATGCTGAAGACAATTTGAGCATATGGTACAACGAACACAAAAGAAGGTGTTGCTAGAAAAGCGAGTGTTGTTGAAACCCAGCCCTTGGCTCGACTTAGTGGTGGATTTGTTCGAAGAATCATCCATTCCATGTGGAGCGGTTTGAGTGCTGAAAAAGCTGCGAAAGAGGATGCGCATCAGTGCTGCTGGAGAGCGACCTTCGAGGCGTCATCACCCGTGAGGTGCTCCGCCCTGAAGGCTTTGAAGGGACAGGATTCCCGAGGCGTCTTACCGCATTGATATGATGTGTACCTGTTCTTTAAGAAGATGTAGATTGGGCACTCTGAGGACCTCGAAGGATGAACATTGAATTTATATAAATCCATCCATGCTTGACTCTCGATCCAAGCTCGAAATTGTCATGTTAATATTTCGACATGACAATCTGTGTGATGGCTACTATTTTTATGTCGCTGTGATGCAGGCCCAAATTAAATGGTGTGCAAGAGTTGAGGGCCAAACTGCCGTTTAACCTTTGAGAGTTGTTGCTGCATTAGAGGTGGGCAACACAAGGCATGCAGTCCATGTCATTCCTCAAGGCTAGATGTTGACCTCAGGACTTGCAGCTTGCAGAGCAGACGGTGCGAGAAGTTGACGAAAGGAATCAGCGTCTCATTGAGGCCTGGAAGCGTCCTGGAAGGGGCCTGTGACACTGTACTGCACATGTCCTTCAATCCCAATTACGTGTACTTTTTTACTTCGAGTGATCCCCATCCTGAGAGGCGACTGGAAGAAGGCAGGCCACATGTATTGACAGACTATCCTGACAAGCGCTGCTGACATGTGCATTGACACATTGTTCTGACACTTGTTCTCGAATCAAGACTGGTACGTGGGCTGACACATCATCTATCATAAAGGCTGGGAAATGTATTGAAATGTGTTCTGACGTCCTTCTTGGCATGTGTTCTGACACTTCATGAATGTGCTCATAGTCCCACTTCGGCTCTGATATGTTCTGCCATGTATTCCGACATTCGTTCTGCCATGAGACCTGCCACTTGATCCGACATGTTGTCACATCGTTTCTCACGTATGACTTGGCATTCTATAAGACAGTGAGACCGACATTCCAACTGGCATTTTTTTGACATGTTTTCTAGGGGCTTCCTTCTGGCATATCTTGCGGCGGTCTACCTGGCATATTTTCAGGCAGCCTTTTCGGCATTCGGTTTGGCATATCTTCTGGCATTCACATTCTACCTGCCATAGCTTCTAATCTAACATCCTTTGCTGAATTGTACGCAGCATGATGCCTTTGGCACATCTTGTGGCATCTTTTCTCGCATTCCATCTGACATACCTTATGATATTCTCAGTGGTCAGTGGCATTTTTCTGACATCTTTTCTGGCTTGGCATCCTTTTGTGGCATGTTCACATAGTCCGACGCCCTTTCTGGCATTCAAACTGTCATGCATTATACCGTTATACCTGTCAGATCTTCTGACACTTTTCTCGTTATCTATATATCTGGCATATCTTCTGACCTTGATTTTGGCATTTGGCACATCTTCTGGCACTTTAAATGGCACCTACTTGGCATATCTTCTGACATCCTTTCTGGCAAGCTGTCTGGAATATCTTCTGGCATGCCTTCTGGCATTCTATTTGGAACGGCATGTGTTTAGGCGTGCCCGTGTCCAGACTGAACTGCGGCTTGTATGATGCGCAGGCCCGTGCGTGCCTAGATTGCTTTGTTTCCTAGCATGGGGGTGCAAAGCACAATGGGGACTGCGCCCAATGAAGCTATCCACTTGTGCTGGAAGCACGGCCTGATCAGCTTTGCGTACCTGCTTCGTTGTGATTTTTCCCCTCCTGGGGCCCGTTTGTATCCAGACCAAGACTCTATCCATTGCATCGGCTTTGCTGTTAAGGGCTCATGGGTTCTGCAGACATGCATCCGTCGCTCGAGTCGCTTTATGTTTTGAAAGTTCGGGTTTGTGGAGGTTTTGGAAGGCTGGACCCTTCTGTATTCCTTGGCCGTTCAATGCCGAGGTTTCTTCAGGGCGTGGAGCAATCAGATCATACGTAGTTTTATCCTGATTGTGTTTGTGTGTGTGTGTGGACATACACCCTTGGTAAAATGTTGAAAGGACACCCACCTCACAGGTGAGGAAAATGACAATCCAAAGATTAAATGGGTTTGTCAGGAGGAGTTTGCGCGAAGAAAGCTTTGAACTGTTTTGAGGAGCTGAAGCGACAGAGCGAGGAGTATCGGCCAACTTTCAGGTGCGCACCGTCAACCACCCAAGTTTTCAGGTTTAGTTATTTGCATTAATCACTAAGTTGAAAGCCGTTTTCATGCATCAACTGTTTGACCAAATTTGACCCTACAGTGCCATGTTGAAAGCAACAAGAACAAAGACCGGCAGGGCTGTCGAAGGCAGGCCGTTTGAAGATGTTAAGTTGAAATGTTCGTTGGCCATGACTGTTCAGAGGGAAAGCGGTTGGTCGGGTTGTGACTTTGCATGTGTGTGTATATATAGAGAGAGAGGGGGCCAGAAATACAACCCAGCCTGCGGGTGATTTGTACAACGCATCATTGCAAAACAGGGCGCTGAAGGTGCAGATTGTGTCAGGAATTCAAGTTTTGACTCACGCGTCCTCACTGCGTGACAGAAATCGCCCAGGTGTGCGATTTGCTTGGTGGACCACGAGGTGGAAGGATGTTGCACACTGCCGTGCCAGCACCGTTTCTGCTTTGAAAGCCTCCAGTAGCTTGACATTGCAGCAGCAGGTCACTTACTTGATATTGCACCAACGGTGGTTTGCCCAGGGTTAGGGGTTTGGCCTGCACTAGCCTACACTCATTCAAGTGGCACCAACGACTTCATAAAGCATCGATTCCCTTCATCTTCGGGGTGTTCTTTATTTTGGGTTTCCCGAGGGTCAATAATGCTCACGTCCTTTCACGATCCACAGCAATCCTCCTTTGCCATGACCGCCGAGGTATCACTTCGATCTGATCGTACGGGAGAGACGTCTCAGTGCCATGCCCGAAGCCTCATTCTCAAGCTGTCCAATGTTTGTACATTGTACTCCACGTTGACGTATAATCAAATATAATCAAATATATATATATATACATATATATATATATATGTGTGAGAGCCGTTTGGCCCAGCCTGGCTAGAATAGGGTGAAACATGGCCCCGTAGTTCAGGGAAAACCGGCTGGCCGGCTGGCTAATGGTTGTGGCTAACATGGGTTGGGTTTTGGATTGTGATGTTGGACCCCTGCTTGTTAATTGTTTGGTGTCTATTTTTGCAACAGCTCTGGCGGAAGGGCGCTGGAAAGAGGAAGAACTTGGTTTGCCAAACAAGGTTCTGCTTCACCTCTCTCAGTGCTCAACATGATTGCGATCGATGTCCTGCATTTGACTTTGATTGAATGGTATTGCTGCAGGCACTGTGGCATTTCCCAGGTCTTTGCCTATTCCAAAAGGTAAGTCTGTAAGTCCTCAGCTTTAGTTTTGCTTGGAAGGTTGCCCTGTGCCACGTTCGCTGAAAAAGATTACTTTCTGGCGCGCTGACCTTTGCTGCTGTCTACCTGTTTGCAAGTTGGCCTTTTGCCATTTTAGCCCGTGCTCCCTGTCACTTGTTCCAGCCCTTGCCGCAAGGATGTATTTTGTTTAGATGCTGCATCGCAAACCCTTGTCCCTGTTGAATTCCAACACACAATTCCAAACAAGAAATAATGTGTGGTGGGCCGACTTTGGGGTGGGGCGGCAATTTCCCGACAAGTTTGGGTCTTAGATAGAGGACCTTCTAGAGTCTCGTTATGTTGGGTCAGTCTATCAGTCTATTTGCATTTGATGTTGGAGGCCCCATTTCATGAGTGATCTGTGGCTAAAATGGGGTTGGGTACCAGGGGCTCAACCCCACTGAGTGTGCCCGGCTGGATATATGTGTGCGCTCGACATTACCATTCAATGTTTCAGCTGGTTGTTTGGCCTGCAAAATGACTTACTCACACCTAGACTAGATGACAGATGAAATGGTGATCTGTGCTGGCCTTGTGCCATTGCCAGAACATTGACACATGCTGAGGCAAGCTTACATGCCCTGCAGAGGGTTGTGGCTACAATTTGCGCTCAGAAGACTCGATTCATATCTTCCAGCATCTTGGTGACGGATCTTCAATGATGTTTTTTGAAAGTCTCAAGGAAGATCTTGCAAAGCATTGCAACTTTGGTTGGCCTTTGATGGCGAGTTCGGCCTGACATGACAGAAGTATGCTGAGGCAATGCTTGCCAGAAGAATCCTACTACAAACTGCTGGAATTCCTGACTCGTGATGATCCACACATTGTAGACTGCCGAGCTCTTGGTTGTGAGGAGCAGAGACTGCGGCCCTAAACCAATCATGGCCTCTCCGTTCGAATAGGGGTGACCTCACAACCGTTGCTCAAAAAAGGGGAATGAATGGCGAAGCTTGTCAAAGTCTTTCCGTATCTCTTGGCATTGGGGTGTCAACAATTGTAGCTCGAAGGTTGTATGTGTACATTGCCAGAGCTCTGCTTTGGGAGTCTGGGTTTGGGACTTGGAGTGGGGTTTGAAGGGACGTGGGAAAGGGCTTGGACACTTTGAGAAAAAGGCATCAAATGCATGACTGAGTTGGGACCTGTATTGAAAAATTGATAAAATTGGATGTTTGGAAGCATTAAGGCCCTTCTCTTTGTTGCAGCAAATGCAGGCCGAGTGCGCACCCCTCACCATTTCATGCCCCTCTTCCACCGGCAGGAACGTGTTTTCTGTGATGAGGGGGACGACTACGCCGATTTGGCTTGCCCCAAGGGCCATCGCTTCTGTGCGAAGTGCGACAATGGGCCCCACCCCTCTTTGAGCTGTGCTGCGCGGCGCAGCCAACTGGAGCAAGACACTCGAATTCGCGGATAAAGGAAGAAACATGACACTCACATGTTGGCCCTTGGATGTCAATCAAGCAGCTCCATGCTGTGGGACTCAATTGCAAGAACCTTCCTTCCCTCTACCTGTGCCACTCTCCGGTCTCTCCGGAAAACCTGTTTGCAACTGAGGAAAAGTGCGAAGTCTGGTCTCAAGTGCTTTCAATGGGCTCCTAGACATGGTTTAACGAGCGATATTGTTTGGTGTTCATCCACGATTTGAGCATGAAGAGTCTGAAAGGGACCTAGAAGTGCAGTTCACTGAAAAATAAGAGCAAAAGTCAAGCGAACATGAAGAAGATTTACGACATAAGAAGCAAACTGCACTATGCTACACTGCCCCTTAATGAAACTGTTTGAAGGGTTTCGAAACTGGAAACTGTTTGAGCCACTCTGCGCAACAAACTCTGCACAACAATCTGCTTGGCCGGTTGAAGGTTGGAAGCCTTGTCCACGAAAGTGTCGCTATGGCGGTGGGTACAAGGCACAAGAGGAGCTTTCATTACATGGGTGGTCTATCTTTCGTGTAATTGAGTCCACTAGACACAAGTGTAGGGAATGCAACGTACCGTATGTATAAGTCATTGTAAGGCGCTTTGTCAGGCTTTTGGACTCGGTGTAAGATGTGTAAGTCCAAATTCAAGAGAAAGCCCATCTCTCAGCGTTTTGGGGCAGGCTCGGAAGTGTTCCCCAAACGCAATCGAATGGCTACTCTTGTATGGGAGGAGTGTGACCATGTCACTTGTGAATGTGGGCACCAATTCTGCTGGGATTGTGGCATTGATCGTCGCATCCCCCTCGCGCACGACAACAGGCTCCTTGATGACATAGTCATAGCGTGATTTATATAAATAAGTGTCTTGGTAAAGATGCTCTTAACTGCAACGATTTGAGAGTAGGCGAACTTGTCGGGGACCATAAAACGTCAGTCTGGAGTTGCCTCTATTTGCAGAGTGCCTGCGAACAGCTGCAAAAAAGAATTTTGAAGATCTCCAAGGTGGCACAAACCCAGCTGCCGCTACTACACGCGCTTGGAAGAGGTGGCCGAGTTACCCAAGTTTGAAGCGAGCTGTCCAGCATGCCGACGGTCTGGGGATAGCAAGGAACCTTGCCACTTGGACATTTGGATCGATGATCAACGCGCTAGTTGAAGTGGAGCGTGTTCATAAAAGAATCAGGGCACACTCCAAAGGGCGACTATATGTCTATGTTTTTGTTGTGCTGACAAACTGCCTCCACTTGCTGTAATAGATGCCTCCGAAGACAACAATGCTGAGAATTTGAATTTGGAACTTGGATGATCTAGAAATCAGTGAGACAATGCTGTGGACAAAGGTGGGATGATGGAGGTGGTAGAGAGGTTGGAGGAATCCCAGTCAGTCAAAGAAGATTTGCCAAAAAGGAAGATCCCTGTCAAAGACGCCTTCTTCAAAGCCCTTGCCTTCTTCTTTTTCCTCAACTTAGACGTGTAATTAATTCTGCAAAAGGTTCAGTGAGGCACTTCCAAACTTGATGGCCTAAAGTTGACTAGGTCACTTCCCAGACGACGACGGCTACCCTCACTCGTACTTGAACTGAAGGACCGAACGACCAAAGGACCAAAATAGTTTGCACCGTGGGCTTTTCAATCAAGTCTAAGTGAGGGTAAGATCTATTCAGTCGTTGTTTAATTCGGAAGTATTGGTCTCAACCTCCGCTTTAAGGGCATCGCACTGGGCATTGCAGGAGCTTGAGCATTCTGATCAAGCTTTTGCACCTCCTTTGTGAGCTTGACTTTTGATTTCACGTGTCCCATGAAATGAAACTGCTCATCCAAGCAGGACAGATCTACCAGATCAACTTGTCAAACTTCGACCTACCTCATCTTCCCGAAGCATTTTGCCCATGCTAGTGCTTTTGGCACGACTGAAGCTTTGCATAAAGAGCACATATAAAGCATACGAGGTTTTGTCAAACGTATTTGGCCGGTGGGCTTGGATGTTCGGAAGCTGCGGGTTCATTCCCTGCACTTCATGTAAGTTTTACGAATTGTTGGCCATCTCCAAATGACAGATACTTAGATACCTGAAGTCATACTGTACCAAATCGAACTGAACCATGTTTGCAAGCTTCTCACAGACCCCCCTTGAAGGCTTCTGGCATGCATGGCGTGTGGCTTGGAGTTGTTTGTAAGCACATAGTCGCTCAACCGATTCGATTCCACACCTCTTTGAGGATCCGGAACCCTTTGTCAAGGCAGAGCAGCTGAGACGCTGAACTGAACGTGGAGAAGGAATCGAATGCAAACACCCAAGGCGCTGGACATTGTGCGAAGCATGAGGGACAGAAAGCCGTAGCGTCCCTTTGCCAGGAGCCCCTAGTAGCGTCCTTGTTCCAATAGAAGATGGTTTTGAGATGTTTTGAGAAAGGAGCGCGCACGCAAGCCTACAGGGAAAAAGGCGCTATTCAATGGAATCGGGGAGTGAGATTGAAAAGAGGTCTTTGAATACCTTTGAACGAACACTTGCGCACACAGATTCGCTCTGCTAGACGTTGATCAAAATGGGGAATGTACAGGATGATGAATCATCGGATGCTTGGTTCCATCATGTGTTTTTTTGGTCCGAAGGAGGACCTTGTACCCATTGTTGGTGTCAGGTCAACTTTCTTCCACAAAGAGCTGCCAGCCGAAAATCAACAAGACGTGGAAAGACATAGACATGCAGCGCAGTATCCACGTTCACCACACAGTCACAGCGCATACCTCTTAGACTTAGACCTCTTTGGGCTTGTGATCATTGCCACATATTGCCACACTGCGTTCAGCGTCATGGCGTTCGGGGACACGGCCTTTCACCGGCATTTGATGGCGCTCAGCGCGGAATATGAACGACTCACGGCTATATAAATGGTTGGGCACCACTCATGACCATATATGATAAAATTATATAATATTAATCAATTATCGTTGAATAGTCACACGCAATTCTACAGCCTGCATTTGCAAATATATATATATACATATATTATATAAACACAAACAAATGGTCCTCGTGACCTCGTGTTTGGGATTTGTTCGGCATGCCTTTTTTGTAAGGATTGTTCAAAGGAACACTCCATGAGCTCCATTACGCATTGCTGCGGTGTTGAGGCCTTATCTCTGAGAACGAAGCGTTGCGAAGAGGCCCCAGCACTCCAAACGGACCACTCTACACCTTGCTGCAGGAGGAGAATGTGCGTCCTTGATGAGCCAGTGTTCGTGGGTACCGTCGCAACAAACGAGCTCAAAGAAGGTGAGTACCCCAATCTCCACCAACTCTGAATGTTGCCAGTCATTCAGACAAGTTTCCTAGAACTCTCAAAAGCACCTTCCTGCAGTTCTCCCATCAAATGTAGAAGAGATATTGTTAGATTCAGCAGGGTGGAACTCTCCCTTCAGAGGACAGCACTCCTCCCTTGCAGCCTTTAACGGCGTTTGTCGTGGAGAAGAAAAAGATTGACTTGTTGGAGCTGCCCTGTGTGCCCGATGAACCAGGCCCATCAGAGCAGTTGTGCTACCGTGTGCAGCAAAAAGATACAAATAATATTTAGATAATACAGTTTAATAAGCATAATTCATCTTCATGCCTCTTTGTGGTTGCTTGAGTTGCCTGGGAGTTGATGAGGGTCCAACAACACAAAACGCACCAATTGAGGCTTCTAATTTGGCCCCAAAGTGGTGCTGACGACCTTCCGCTTTCCATGCCAATAGAGTCATAGTCGGTAGCTGCCGAGAGGTTGCCAAACCCTGGTCGCTTAAACAATCTTGTTGATCAGCCGAACAAATTCCGAATTGAGGCTGTATGAATTTTGCCCTTCTTTTGGACTGTCTTCTGAAAGACTGTCTTGCCAATCCACGGGTTGCGTTTGCGTCGCCTGGAATGCTTGTGAGATCATGGGATCATTCCAGCCATCCGCTTCCCTCCTGAAGAGAAATTGCTATCATTGCGATCCAACATTTCTTCGCAGATCAGAGCTTGTGCCGTGGTGCACAAACTGGGGTGAAAGGAACTTTTCCTCGGCATCGTGTGATGTTGGTGGTATCCTCAAGTCCTTCATTGGACTCCCTGGCATTGCCCCAGGAGGTATAGCTGACAACACCAACGCGAAGCTACAAAAACTGGCTGGTTGCGCCCAAAAAAGCACATATGTTGGAAACTGAAACGCCTTCGCCACTAGTCTGTTTGCATTGTCAATGTCTTTGGCCCCTGGATTTGGAAAACTTTGTTGCAAAAGTCCGACCCATCCAACAAGGTCGCTTCAGATAGACAGGAGAGTGTGCCCAGGAGTCTGCGAAGTTGTTGAATTTCTTGAGCTTGGTTCCATTTTCTTCTCCAGTGGAAATGGTTTTACACAAAGTATTTGGTCCAATTTTTATAGATGGAGCTCAGCGTTCTGAAGTATGTCCTTTCAATAAAACGACCTGCCTTTTTGATTCTTTCCCAACCAGTAGTCGTTGGACAGCTGTTCTGCAATGATTTTCCTACCGTTTTTACCACGAAGGACAACGTCATGGGTTGCTACCTCAAGAACGCCATACACTGTGGCGTCAGCTTGGTTGGTAGAGCCAGATAGGAAATAAGCACGGGTCTGATCTGGATCAAATGCAGGCCTGCAACAGAAGATACTCGCTCACATGCTCAGTTGTATGGTGCGTCAGTTCAGCCATTGCAATGCTGGAGCAACATGATGATCAACTGTTGCGGATCTGTGCCACGAATCCTTTCCCAGGGCTGCCGGACATAAAGCCTTTGTTGACATTAAGCGCGGGTAAGTAGGGCGCCCAATTCACTGAGGGCACTTTGCCTTCATAGGCCCACGCTCCGGGTCGCCAAAAAGACCGTCTTCCATTTTGGCTTTTGGGATATCAGTCTCATCGCGAGGCTTTGTGTTCAAGACGTGACGTCATGTCGTTATTTCATCAAGTTCAGCAAAGACCTTATTCTCTGAAGCTTGTATGTCCAACAACTTATACGCATTTGATTCCAACTCCTGGCCAGGAAAACCTTTCTCAGGTTTTCTCAGTAAACAACTTCTTTTCCGCTGGGCGGCCGCTTTGCAGGCCACAGTGACACACCGCAAAGCATTTCAACTAATGCCCATCGTTGTCGTTTGTCCGGAGGCTCTTCAGAAGGTTCTTCCGGCATGTTTCTGCTGGATACCTCCGCGGTTCGCTTCATTCTGGGCGGCTTGGGTAGGAGAGCTTCTGCTGCCAATAGGTTGTACCGTATGTCGCCCTGAGGCTTTAATGGTGACCACAAGAAACACCGCCAGAAAAGGCGTGAGATAAAGCGAGCAAATCTGCGCTCGTATTGGCCAGCATGCGGGGCTCACATGACTATCAAACGCGATGTTCTTACTTGATGGTGAGGCTTGGTGTAACTCCAAGTAGAAAAGGTTGTAAAAAGGTTCATCCCTGTAGTACCCTGTAGCATCATCTCAGAAAGGATCCAGAAATCAGTTCTAAATTAAAAAAGATGTGTTTGCTGTTGTTTTTGTGGTTTTTGTGGCACAACTGTGGCAAAACGGAAGAATGAAGCACGCCAAATTGGTCCCAGGGGACGAACCAAAGCACGAGAAACCGGCCAGAAAACACGAGATATGGCGCAAGAGAACGATCAACAAAGCACCACATATAGCACGAGAAATGTGGCGAAAAAGCAGGAGAAACGACAAAAAAGGCACGAGATATAACATGAGAAAACGGCCCAAACAAGCACAAGATATAGCACGAGAAAACGGCCAAAAAGGCATGCGATTTAGCGCGAGAAACCGCTGTTGCTATTGAACCCTTTCATACCAAGCACGAGAAACAACACCAGAAATAGCGCGAGAAAAGCTTAAAAAGCACAGCTCACTGTTTGAAGGGACCGGAGACTGTGAAACTCAGGAACTCAAGGCTTAGCCTGGCCTTCCCGGACTGCCCTGGCGATCGCTGTCAGGCTTAGGGTTTTGAGATCTCAGGAACTGCCTGGACGGCCCGCTTGGTCGCTGTCATTTGAGATCTAGGAAATGAGGTATTAGCCTGGCCTGCTTCAACTGCTATTATGGCCGCTTTCAAATTTAAGGTTTTGAGATCTCTTCTTATTTTACTCTTAAAACTTCACTGTAGTACTCAAAAGGATCAACAGTGATATGTAGTTGAAAGGCATGGTCAGAATCGATTCCAAAATCTTGGATTGGAGATTTGCAGGCTTATCAAGAAATGGAACATGGTTCAGATGGTGGCTAGAGCTTCCAAACTGGTCACCAGGTTTTAGGCAACTTAGATAGTTTGTTTCTGGTGTCTCAACGTGTTGGCAGGCACTTTCTGACCTCATGACCAGAAATCACAGCAACCGAAGCTCAAGTGCAACATCCTAAGTCGGGATTGCGAAAAGTGAAATGCAAAAATGCACAGATCTGGTGATGCATCACAAAGTGTGAAAATGTAACGCAACCTTTTTGTTGCTGTTACAGGGGACAGGGTGCATACAACCAATAGGTCTGTTCCCAGTTCTGTGTTCGGACTTTTCCTTTACAAAAGCCAATCGTTCATAAACATGTTCAACAAATAAATACTTCTGCCAACAACACATGTTAAGCAAATACTGTGGACCGTCAGAACTTGCTCGCGCTTAGCATCAAAACGCAATGGAATAGCCTGTCGGGGCTTGAAGGGAGGGATAACAAATCATCAGAATGCGCTTGCGTTAGGGGGTGGGATTGCAAGTCGCCAGAACTCGCTTCCATTTAGCGTCCAAACACAAGGGGATAGCCCGTCAGGGCTTGGAGGGTGCGGTGGCAAACCAACAGAACTTGCTTGCGTTTGGCATCAAAGCAGGAGGGAATAGCTTGCCACGGTGGGATGGTACTCAGCAGAATTCGGGCGCGTAAAGCGCCAAGGCTAGCGTGGGCGTTTGCCCTGACATGACCATTTACCTTGACATGAACACGCCCCAAGTCACACTGGGCAAACGACCACCAACCGAGTGGGAAAACAAACCAACACCAAAGATTTGCAAAGACTTGTCCACTTTCGCCACGCTCTGAGATACAAAGGTTCAGCTTTTTCTTCAGAAACAAAAGACGTCCTTCTAGCCGATTTTCTCGAGCATGTCCTCATCCATCCAACAGCTGTCTTGCACCCCCACCTTCTGGATGGTCGCCTTTTGCCCTCCATGATGACGGAGCTGACCCATGCAAAAATGTCGACCAAACCACAAACCCAAATTGTTTTACAAATGCCCGCAAAGCATTCAGATCTCAAACAAAAGAACGTTTACAAAAGAAGAGGCTGCGTTTCCTTCGCTGACATGCCTCACTCTTTCTGTAAGAACTTTCTGGATCGCATTTTCTGAGTGAGACTGAGTTTGGGAGCCAAGCAGAACTCGAGGGCTCACGCCTGTGACTGATCGGCATTTCTGCACGTCTCCACATCGCAAGAAATACACAACTTGTGATTCGAATCTTGAACTCACAATGCTTGCGAAAGAGCTGGGCCTTTCGGAGTGCCATACGCCGAACATCGCCAGAATGTGAAGTCGGCCAGGTCGACTCCAGCTGGTCGTTTGCCAAGTCGGACGGAGACTTTTGTCCATGTGGGCGAGGGCCTGCACACAACGCAGTGGAAGCGTGGAAAATCTCATCTTGCGATCTGGAATTTGGTGGCTCAACCAGAATCACTTCCAACAAGCTGTTCATATCACAATGACCGTTTGTTGCCGAAAAAACTTGTGGGTTTCTTGATTGGCTTGCCAGTGGCCTTGGATATGAGGCCTAGCAGGCACTGATCGCCATGTACGAATTTTGCTGCCGGAACAGGGTTAGAATTTGCTGCGAGGTTTTTGCAAGCCAAGACCGAGCGCTCGAGGATGTTCAAACACTATTAAAAGACCAAGCTCACAACACTATTAAAAGACCAAACTCACGACACAATGCACGGGCCCGGACTGCAAAATGAAGCAGAGTTCTAGCTTGTGTCAATTCTTCATATGCGCCTAACACCTGAAAATAACATGGGGCTCTAAAGCCGTCGGTTTTGGCACACTGTTTGTACCTCATGAGGCTGGTAAACCTAGTAAAGTTGATGGGCAGCTCAGTGGAATATATATAATACAGTAATGTAGCACTAGAATCATCTTCGACGGAGGGGCTTGAAAGACTATGTTTGTGTTTGTACGCGCGCCGTTGCGTAAACAAGGGCACCTCGACTTGAGTGTAGGATGACACAGTGCCGTGGCAAACGGACAAAGTGCCGTGCCTGCAAGCGTAGTGAGCGTACATGCATGTGTCACACACAACTGAGAAGCACCTGATCCTGTTTGTGTGGTAACTTGGTGCTTGCAAACTCGATAGGAGAAGTGAACGAAGATGGCGAATCGCCAAAGAGATCATCAAGGGTCTCCAGGAATACGAGACGCCAACGTTCCACCGTGGCCGCTTAAAGCATTGCTGGATCGACCATTACCGCACTGTTTCACACTGTGTTTGTTCATGTTCTGTCTTCATTGTTCTTGGATTAATTAGTTCTTATTATGTTGTGTCCCCTTTGTTAGTTAATGTTAGTCATATTGAATGTTCATTAGTTGTTAATATGTGTTGTTTGTTTTCACCGCATAGCACAATTTTGGTCTACCCATTACGCCATGCCAAGAAGGAATGGATGCGACGACCATTTACGAACGAGCACTTTCACCAAGACCTTTGAAGGGATGCGGGAAGATGAATTGGCGTTAAACTGTCAAGAACCACTTGCAATGCGATGAAGTATCATAACCAAATTTGCTGTTTTTTTATATCACATGTTTTTGCAATGTCGTATGCGAACAAAGTCCTAATCCGCAACTCTCCATTCTTCTGAAACTGTTCTTCCGCAACTATTTGGTACTCTTCCGCAACTACTCTTCAGAAACTATTTGGCGATCTTCAGGAACTATTTTGCGATCGTCAGAAATTATTTCGCGATCTTCAGACACTATATATTGCGTGATCTTCAGAAACTAGTTTGCGATCTTCAGAAATTAGTTTGCGATCTTCAGAAGTTATTTCGCGATCTTCAGAAACTTAACTTATTTGCATGCTTTAGAAAGTATTATTCAGAACTTTTACAATAGTGTAACCAAATTGCATGAAGGAGCACTGGGTGGGTGGGGGGGTGGGGGATGGGTGGGGGGGTGGGCTATTGACGTACCTTGTGACGGCTACGGTTTATAGTATATATATACATGCCTATTGTACGATCTGCAGAAACTTGTTCGTGCAGGCTTGATGTTGCTCTTCGACTCTTCGTGGTTTCCGAACAATAGTTTCTGAAGAAAACCGTAGAGTTTCTGAAGATTTGTTTCCGAAGACAACCGTAAAGTGTCCGAAGATCACCTTTTAGTTCCCGAATAAAGCTTTGACCGTCGTATGCGTCCTGACAACCACTTAACACTTGAGGTCCAGGCTGCTGAAGAAGAGGAAGCTGAAGATTCGTCGACCTTCTTGCTGAGCCTCGGGCTTGCAAGTCAAAAAGGGTGAACAGTATTCTGTAGATCTAATTTACCAAAGTATGGTAAACGCTTCAGAAACGCTTCCTTGGCAGCTTCATATGGTTCCCAGCAAAGAGACACGGTTGTGAATGTGACCACACACACACACATGTGTGTGTGTGTGTGCTTGTGTCGGCGTTTTCTGGTTTCACTGCCTAGGATGTTGGATGTGATTCCGGCATGTGTCATCATGCGGAGTGCAGCTTGGCAAATTGTATAGATTGCTAATTGAGGGTTGCGACTGATAAGAATTCGTTCATCAAGAGCTACGTGATGACACAAGGTTCTCAGTTGCTTGCTGCTACACTGGTGCGTTTTTTTGACAGCAGTGGCAGGCCAAATGAGGTGGTTTTAAGCAGAGAAGTACATGGTGTTCTTTGTTTGCACAGCACGAAAAGACATCGTATTGCAATGGCCAAGATCGACGTAAGTCGACGGTGCAAGCTCCACCAGTTTAAAACAAAAATGGCGGACATTCAAAGAAAAAGCTGGGACCCTAGCATCAAGGCCACTGCTGGAAATATACTGTATATGTGCCTCCTTGGGAATCTTCTCCAGTCATAATGTTTTTACGTTTGCTAAGACCTCCCACAGTGAGGGGCATGGCTTGAGGACGTCAAGAAACTCCAAGTTTGTACTGTAAATATTTGTACATGTTCTTGAAAGTGTGCACTTTGCACAACCTGAGGCAGCAGTTGCTGGTGCATCTGCAGACCTTGAACCCGAACATGTTGCGCCTTGGCGGGGACAATGTTCTTCATCACTATGAATTCGCTTGGGGCATTTTCGTGGGAAGATCGCATTCTTTTCTCTGAGGTTTGGCGGATCTTTGAGATTAGCTTCACGGTTTTCTTCATAGGGGAAATCATTGTCAAGATGCGAGTCTTCGGAGCAAAGGACTCAATGCAGTGTCGCCATAGCTAGCTTTAAATACCTGTGGACCTAGCAGGTGGCGAGTCATGAGGGAAAGAAACCTGACAACTCTTGGGATACACAGATTGACTTTTTCAACGGAATTTGTCTGAATTTGTTTAATTTGCTAGGGGGTGCGATCGATGCTAAACACAGCTTTTGCCACCCAACAAAATTGAACTACAATCACAAAATGTAATTTTCATGGACCACAAAGCAATTGAGGAGTGTTTGCCGATTGCCAACATTTATGATCCAAGAAACATACTCACCACAAGAGTTCAAGTGCCAGCGGAAAACGTGTACCCAAAAAATGTCGCACCAAGCATGCTTAGAAATGGGCGCACACAATTTCCACACAGACAAAGAATGAGACGCTTCAAAGGGTTTGATAGGAGATCAATATGAACATATGACAACTACCAAAGGAAAAAAAAACAATGTATTTTCAAGTTTCAAGGACGGATGCGCCATTTATGCACGACAGGTGCAATGAATGCAGTTATCGAAGGGAGCATAGTTTAAGTATTGGGTGGCACCACGGAAGGTACAGGTTTGGAGACGCAAGCGCGTAGATAGTCCGAATATCGTTTTACTGTATATTGTAAAACCAAAATCCACGTGGGCAGAACATGCATTTACGCGCCACCGAAGAAGAAATACAAAGGATGCTCTTCTCAAGCAAAGCAGCTCTATTACATGTCGACGTATAATGTATACATTCGCGCGCGATATGATGTTTAACCGCCAGCGCGCAATGTGCACCGCGCGTATGGACATGCAAGCGCACAGTTCATACACGCACAAAGACAGGCCAAGAGACAACCGCAACATAAGTGAGACACCAACCACCGCCAAAGCAGAACCGACATGCCACCAAAACACAACCGGAACACCACCCAAGCATGACCGAGAAGCAACCTAAGCAATCCTAAACATGACCAATACACCACCAAAACGTATCAAGACACCATCTAAACATTATCAAGACACCACACAAACATAAACCCTTTCCAGATCCAAAACAGCAAGAATATTCTGCTGGAAACGGTCACGCGAATTGAAAGTGTAGCCCGGGCCCGTTTCCCTCATGGCTTTGAGTCAGGACTATCTCTTCGGTGCAGACTGGCACCTTGGATTTGTTCACATGTTGCGTTTGTCCTCGCCTTTGACATATGAGGTACTGGAGCTGGTTTGATATACTATGTGTGGCTCTAGCAATTGTCGCCGCTTGCTTGATGTCAAAAAACACAAAAAAGGCACTACAAGGGCAAGACATTTGTGAAACAACAAAAAAGAAGATTACTTCCAAGATCTTCCAAGGATATTGGCATTACGGAGATCAGTTCCGCCACTTCAGCTGGGGGTGAGGGTGCAGACACTGGAGCAATGAGTTCATTGAAGATGTTGAAGTTGGCACGCTTGGGACGGTTCCTCGCCAGCCACAGTTGTGGATCTCGGAATGGTGTGGTCGAAGAATCCATTCTCAGCAGGGTCTCTTGAGCTATCCTCATGTTGCTTCTTGACCATGAAACTCCCAAGTTCTCTAATTCAGTGCAGGATTGTGCGGCTGTTGAAGTTCAAGATCTTTACAGAGCTGAAGCTCATGATTCAGGGTGTTTTCACCGGACTTCGTGTGCTCTTTTGGGCTGTGGTGCTTCTCTTTTTGGTTTTGTACCTGCTCGGCGTGGTCTCCCGGACGCTCTTTGGAAACGCGGAAGGTTTCAATGAGTTCAGCAACTACGGCAGCATTGAAAAGGCAAGGCCTTAGGATCTTTTGTTCCGAGTGTTGAAGAACCTGAAGAGCCCCCAACCTTTCTGGGAGGCTGAAAACAAGAAATCAAAAGCCAATGAAGTCCCTCTCTCTCTCTCTCTCTTTGTGCACAAGGGATGGGACTCTCTTTTAAAATATCAGCGCTTCAGCCGTCCAGCGTTAGTGATCCAATGCCCTAGAATACTTAAAGTTGGTCATACTTAGTCTTAGACCAGTGTCGGGCTGGATTATCGATTGACAATACCTTATACTTATGCTGTTCATGTAATTTGTCTTCGTCCATGTTCATCCCAACTGACTTTTCCTTTCCCCCCCTACATGGATGGATGGATGGATGGATATTATGTATGTTATGTCATGTCATGTCATGTCATGTCATGTCATGTGATGTTCTGTTCTGTTCTGTTCTGTTCTGTTCTGTATGTATGTATGTATGTATGTATTTTTCCTAAAGTGGCTGAGTTTGTGGGCCATTTGGCCGGGTTTACCTGTCTAGGCATGTTGCCTCACGGTCGTCAGCAGCCGGTTCAGTTGTTCTTGTCCAGGGGTAGGTTGCCAGAGTTCGCCAGCAGCGTTCAGAAGTAGTCAACTTCTATGCCGGCGGTGTCTGCAGCAGCGGTGTCTTCTTCTGCTGTGTGGCTGGGGTTCATGGCCAGCGCAGAAAGCTGCTGGTTCAGAGCTTCATGGTTATCTAGCTCTGTGTTGAAGTGGAGCCGCTTTGGTGCTGGTCTGCCAGAGACGACCTCCTGGGGGCTCGCCGTTCACCCTTGGCTGGTGCTCCCTGGAGTGTCCTTCTTTTTGAAGAACTCACTGAGTGGCGGAGAGCCTCTGGTGGCTGCACCTTTACAAGGTTTGTAAAGGGCCTGGGTGGCTATAAGTCGCTGATTGCCATCCAGATTCCATTGCGTGCCACACTGGGTGCACTTCACACGTTCACCTATCTGCCATAGTGCATGTGTGGGGTGGCCTGTATGCTGGGCGGTACATTCTTGGTTCACACAGTTGCTCTGGGTGAACTCCGTGAAAGCTGCTTCATTCACCCTTTTGTGGATGTTCACTCCGCACTTGGTGCATTTCAGGTACCCTGTGGTTTCGGTGAGCTGGTGCTTGCCTGGTTCTGGCTGGTCAGGCTGCTTGGCCAAGATCTCCTTGATTTGTTGGGCTCTGGTGAGTTTCTTGGGCAGGGGATCTGTCTGCATGGCAGGCTGGTTGCGGAGGTCTTCAATCGTTAGCTGTGGGCAATCTTCCTGGAGTCTGGCTTCTAGTATACCGGCGGTCAAGCCTTGGTGCATCCTTGTTCCACACGCTGTGCACTGAAACCCGCTTCGATGAGGTTCCCATCGGTGATGGTTGTCTGCCCAGGCCTTGCGGCATTGGTTGACTTGGTCTTTTTTGCGCTGCTTGGTACGTTTGCCTTTTTGGTGGATGTTATGGGTGCTGTCTTCGTAGATCTTGCTGAGCCTTTGCACTGCATGCTGATAAATCAACTTGTGGTCTTGATCCAGGGTTTCTTGCCATTCCTCTTGTCGGGCATCATGAAGTGTCTTGGCTCGTTCCCAGGCTGCCAGGGCCGAATCTCGTTGGCGGCGACTAAGTTGAGGTTCGTTTCCAGGAGCATCCGGTGTTCTGGTGTTTCTGCTGATGTACAAGACTGTGACCCGGGTGAAGTCTTGTGGTGTCAGCTCATCAAGGATGTCTTGGAATGGGCCTCGGCTTTTGGTCTGATGCCATGCTTCCCAGACCGTGGCAAGCTGGACAATGACTTTGACCTGGTCTTCAGTGTGTTTGGCCAAGGCAACAAGTCCTGCTAACAGTGCACGAACCTTAGTCTGGACGCCAGGTGCTACGCCCGGCACCGAGTCGCCGCAGTTGTCCAAGTGACATGGTGTGCGCGCACAGTCCAAAGATCCACATTTGACTTCGAAGGTCATAGGAGGAGGGAGTGGCATCTAGCGTGAAGGCCCATTGTTGTTGGAGTGCTAAGACCTCAAGGCCTGCCCAACATCCATGGCCCTGGTATGGATGTTGTTGCGCACGCGCTTCCTGTGGTTCCAACGGGATCCAGCCATGAGCCCAGAGCGGTTCTTCATCCTGGCATGTGAGTCTGTCCATCCATTCTGGAGGCATTGGATCATGTTGTTGGGTGCGGTGCCAACGACAGAGCCACAAGATGTGCTTGGGTGTGGCAGGAACATGGCATATAGGACAGCTTTTGGTCTGGTGTGCATCCCTGAATTGGAGTGCCCCTTGCACCCGTGTGTCGAGGTGATGCTTGTGCTGCTGCTTCAGGGTCTTCTTCACCTGTTGATAGGTGTGCCAGTTAAGGCCAGTGATGAGATCCTCATATTGCGGCTTGCTGGCCAAGCGAGAAATGCGCTGCTGTTGCGCTTCGTGTGTCAGAGCCTGTTCAATCTTCCACCATGGGCTCTGGATTGTGATTTCATTGGCCAAGAGCAGTTTGGACTCAGGCCTGATCCACCTCATGAGCTCGGCTGGTTGCCATCCCCATTCCTGTAGATACACTATATGGTGGCTGCCAGTGGGCCTCGGACACTGTACGACGGGTATTGCTTGGCGTGGAGCCTGTGCAGAAGAAGAGGCTTGTACTGGCTGCGGAGATAGCCATGACGGGACGGCAGGTGTAGGGTTCTCCCTGCTGGTATGTTGTCTGCCAGGCCTGCTCAAGGGCTGGGAGCTGCTCTGGGGGCCATGCTTGGACGAGGTGGTGGATGGGGATTTGGTTTCTTCAGGTCGATGTAGCGTTTGCTGTGAATGTCATAGGTGATGTCCAGCAGCCCACCTGTGTGGTGTCCAAGGTGCTTTGCCATGGCGTGGCGTAGGGCTGTTCTGTACCTTGGGGCAAGTCCTTGGCTTTCCACTCCCCAGGTAGATCGCCGGATGGGCTGCTTGCCATGGTTGAAGGGCAGGTGCTAACACAGCTTTGGCCAGCAATGGTGCTTGCGGACAGCCAGCGGGTACTCCATTTTGAACCTTGAAGAAAGGTGTCATCTCTTGCTCGGCCACTATTGCATTGGTTCCAGTGTAGACTTGCGTGGCCATTTCCAGAAGCAAAGGTGGGTATTGCAGTTGGAGAGCTTCGGTTTGGAGCCTGGTCAAGTTGATCCGTAGAAGGTGGACATGTCCATGAGGCATGTTACCCCGCGCTGACCATTGGCCCGATGTACTTCTTGACGAAGAAGTCGTTCGAGGGCCACACGCAAGACCTGTTTTTTTGTCATTGATCTAACAGCGGTTTGCGTAGGCGGCACCAAACCCTGTAAAGCATTGAAGTCAGAGTAATTGGCCGTTCTTTGCTGCTGTTCTTGGGGAGCATCACCACCATATGCATTTGTTGTTGCGTGGGCAATAGCGCCTGGGCCTCCATCTCTTGAAAGAGATGGAGAAGCGCCTTGACTGCCAGTGGTGGCGCAGTGCGGAGTAGCTGCGCGGTGACAGCATCTGGTCCACAGGCTTTGTCAGGCAGGTGCTTGAGTACCCAGGTCAGTTGACCAATGGTAAGCGGCTCAAGCTGCTGTGCTTGTTGCTTGGCTTGTTCCTGCAAGCTGGGTCGCTCATGGGGTTGGTCATCTTGTCTGATGGCCCATAGGTGTCCCCAATCCTGTAGTCTTTGGGTCATTCTTTCATCCGTTGGGAGGTGGCGATAAGGTCGTTCCCAGGCAAGTTCACTGCTTCTGAGGCTTCGGAAGGGGCCTTTCAGTCCTTTGGCTTGACCTTGCTGTAGCCATTCTTTGCCATTTCATCATTGGCAGCTTGTTGGGCTTCCTGAACCTGATGTCCAAGTGTGTGCTGGACCAGTTCTGCAGCATGGCTATCCCGATACTTGTGCCAATGATGGTAGGTGTCAAGGAATTGTCCCCGCGTTGGCGGTCCTACCCAGTGTTTGGGTGCATCTTGGAGTGCCTGCATGAAGCCTTTTGCGGGGCCTCTGGCCTGCTGCTGCGGTTGCTTCACAGCCAATTGGAAACGAGCCTTGAGCTGTTCCCAGTAGGCTGGTTTGCCTTTCTTCCAGGTGGCAACTGTCTTGTTTTGCGCCAGTGGTTTGAAGACCGCATGGGGGTTTGCTCCTCTGCCTTGGGCTGCCCAGGGGTGTTCTTGGAGGAGGTATTGCTCCGTGCATGAGATCCAATCTGCCCACTTCTGCGCCGAACTGTTTGGTGGATTGCCATAGAGTTCAAGTTCGTGGGCAGTGGATTGGTATGTCGTCCATGGCCTGAATTCAATGTCAGGTGTGGCGGGCAGCGGCGGGGAGTATTGGAGTTGTTGATACTCCTTGGTGGCCTCCTCGATGTTGAGATGGAGGCTGTGGATGAGGGCATAGTCAATCACATTGCCGGAGAGGATGCTGTGATCTGGGGCTAGTACTTCAAAATGAACTTTGGAAGGTAACACCGTGCTTGTGACACTGCCTGGGCTGTTTTGCCAATCACCAATATAGGGGTGATTGGTAGCCTGGATCAGGGCCAGGAAGCGAGCCAAGATTGTGGCATTGGTGTCACTTTGGAGGTTCTCCCCAGTCTTCATGTAGGTAGACTCCTGCTACAAGGATGGTGCATTCTGTTGCTTGCCAAAGGAACGCTTGATATCCACAGCCTTGGATGGTGAAGGATTCCAAAGGCGTGAGACCACTTGACGGGTCCCCAACCACCAGGATGCCCGCGTGTGTGCCTGTGTTGCCCTCGTTGGGCATGGCTGGTGCGCCGAAGGCTGTCCTGCCGCGTATTGTGAAGTATTGGCAGGTTTGTTGGCGCTGTTGTGGATCAAGGTGTGTCTCGACAAAGATGTACACTTCACTTTGTCTTGACCAGTACCAGTCAAGCACCTGCTTGCCAAAGTTGATGACGTTTGCAAAATGGAGCTGGTTGTGCTGCTGTTCCAGTCTGGGCTTCTTCTCCGGACTTGGATGGAGAGGAGGATCGAAATCTGGTTCTTCCGGAGGTGGCAAAGACCGGATGATCTGCTGGGTGGTTCTGAAGGTGTCAATGCGCACCGCCCAAATCTGCGTGACCTGACTGGCCAACTGTGGTGTCAGGCGGTCGAGGTGAACTGGCGGTTTGCCATCATCTGCAAGCCACATCAGGTCGCGGTAGATGAGGATTGCGAAATAGTGCCCGGTAGTGTGGCTGGGTCCTCTGTGGCAGATTAATGCCGCTGGTACAAACTCTGAGGATGTACGCGCAAAACCGTCCGGCACTGTGAAGGTGCCGTACGTGTTCAGGATCTTGGTGTGCTTGGTGGGAATGCCTTCCACCCAGGTATTCCTGGTGATGTGGCTGACCAACACTGGTTTGCCATCCATCAGGTATTGCCCAAGTCCCGTGTTAGCCCAGCCATTGAACAGGTCTTGAAGATTGGTGTTGTCAGGCCAGTCATCAGGATATGGGACTAGGATGGGTTGCTCGATGTGGTCTTGCAGGTAGCCTCCTGCCTGGATTTCTGCAAACCTGTAGTGGAAGGCTCTCGATTGAGAGAGGTTCCATAGAGTGTTGGTGGTCACTGAGATAGCCATCCGTGCCAGGTGCCAAAGAGGAGCTTGAAAGCAAGGGAGTTGTATGTCAGGATGTCCCTGGGCCAACCTTGTCGATGAGCTCCCTGCGACTGTAGCGCCTGGGAGCGCCGCACTAGCGGGGCTTTGGGGCTGCCCGCTTGAGCGCTTGCGGCTTGAGCCATGTATGTATGTATGTATGTATGCATGCATGTATGTATGTATGTATGTTATGTATGTTGGTATGGTATGGTATGGTACGGTACGGTATGGTATGGCTGGATGGATGGATGGATGGGTGTGTGTATGTATGTATGTATGTATGTATGTATGTATGTATGTATGTATGT